ATAGCATTTTGGATTCTAATATCCTCATTTCTTCTAAAGTCCTGAAAAAATATCAGGATTTATGATCAAACTGACCTTTTCATACTCCACTCTTCCCAGGAGTGGACCAAAAAACCAATGAGAAAGACAGGTACTAGGAACTCTAAGTCACTGGGAGCTCGCAAAGCCTCCACCACTGGAAGTGGTTTTACAACCATCTCTTCTGGTCCTATGAACAGGGTCCACATTCTTCAGAAGGTTCTAGAGAGAAAAGTGGCTTGAGAAACACTGAATTTGCTTCAACTCACCAGAGCCTGAGGTGGACAGAAGCCCTTCACATTTTCAGGATTCAGCTGATGAAGGACAGAGCTTATCCATTGGTAATGTGCTAGAAGAACAAGGCTTCTGGCATCTAAACCTCCAGCACATCACAAACTTCCTGCTATTATCTAATATCCCCCCAAATCAGCCATCACTGTTTCCATGGTAACCGACAGAGAAATAGCAGCCTGCCAAATGGCTTTTGTAGTTCCTTTTCCAGCTTGTTTTTCAGTATAGAACTAAAGCTAGCTGGGAAAAGAACCAGACTAATCTTTATAGCAGGGACATGATGCATTTTGGAAAGTACAACTGGGTCTGGGACAAGGAGCATAGACAAACTTTAATGAGCCCAGCTTGAAAGAATAAAAAAAGGTTCTTGGTTTCTAAAAAAGTGTCCACCGAAGTATATTTGGTAAGCTTTACTTTTGTCTTGAGATAGTATATCCTGACATTGGCCAGAAGATAGATATGGTGCTATTCACTCTGTCTTTAACTGAATTAACAAAAGAAAGGATGGGGTGAATGGAACGGCAAGATCAGGCAAGTTTACTCGGCCACCAAGTACCTTATTATCATTAAAGGAAACGATAATTTATGCTACAGTCAAAATGAATGGGCAGGAGTTGACTGGCTTGGACTAGAGGATAGTGAAGAAGGATCAGCATCCTGGAGGGGTGAAACATTCATCCCAGGGACGACGCCTGCATGAAGCCAGCTGAGCCAACTGCATGAATCAGAGGGGCACTCATACTTAGGAAACAAAGACCTCCTTGCCATTTCAGCACAGGGAGAAACTGCTAGGAACGCCGTGTGTAGAACTGGGGCGGCTTTCAGAAGACCAGCAGCTACAGAGATCTGCTGAAGGTGCCAGACAGTACAACAAACAGCTACCGCAGGGGTGGAGGGGATGGCATGTAACAAAAACAGTGGCCCCAAACAGATGCTTTTCTGTCTCCAAACTGCATACCTGAATAAAGTACACCAAGTCTCATGACTCTTCTCTGTCACTTTCAGATGAGAAATTTTGACTCAAGTCAAACAGGTATTTAGCTTCTCTTCTAATAGGTTAAAACGAACCGGATTTTGAAAGAGATTCCCTCCCACCACCTCTAACATACTCTGCATGTCTTGCTGACAGACGTGAAAATTACAGCCTATAGCAGCATACTAAGTTAGGTTCCTAAGAGTTTCCTGACAGAAAGTCAGACTCCTACAAATTCCGCACAGAAGACTAACGTAATTTATACTCTTTAATTTATGCTTTTAACTTGAGTTGTATGAATCATGAGTCATGTTCTCAGAGCCCTCACCGACCGGAGTTTAGAAAGAAAAGTAGACACAGATTTTCAAAAACCATTTCCTTTCAATCCTTCAGGAAAGGGATCATTATAATAAGATAGAGAGGATGTACTCTAATATGCATTTCCAAGGCTGTCAACTCAAAGAAAGGCTTCTGTACTTCTGGTTTAGCTAGATTTGTGGAGTCCTAGATTTTGGGATCTGTTAAAGAAACCTGAATGAGTCCTTCCAAAAGTTTAAACTTGGGTCTTGTTTACCCAAGAATGGAACTTACAGGTTCTGAGGGGGGAAAAAAAGCCAGTTTTAAACTGTATTCAGTAATGCGTGATGATAATTTCCAATATATTAAGCTTCAATTTTCCCATCTTAAACAAAAGCCAAAATTGAAGGGATATACAATTATATCAAACTCAGTCATAGTTTAGATTATGCAGGAAGCCAAGACTTACGGTACTGACACCTTTGTATTTCCTCCCAAATCCGTTTCCTCAGCCAACTTTGTTTCAAGATCTCAGGTGAATTTTCTTACTTAGGAGGTCTATATTTTTATTAAATCAGCCATCATAGGTATAGTGCAGATTCTCTGCCACTGGCAGATAATTACAGGGACGGTACCACGTTTTCTAGTATTTCATGGCCTGTGCTTTCACTATACTCATCAAAATAAACTGTAAGAAGCCTTGAGAAGATAAAGCTTCAGTATGGGCAGTCTCCCTCTTAAACCGGGATTTTGTTCCAAATGGTTGCCTTCAAGGCTGTATGGCAGTTGTATTACCCATCCACTCATGAACCTTTAACAGAAGTCAGGTATATTACCAAGAAATAGCTCTTGGTCGCCATGAATATTGTTTTCATATGAGAAAATGAAGACCTTCAGCTGCCTGGAGGAGACATGGAATGGGGGTATTCTGGGCACCAGAATACTGCTAATGCTTAATGGCTGGAAACTGCTTCTACAGTAAAACTACTTATCCAGAAAGCATGCTTTGGGAATCCTTAGGCTTCAAATCTATAAATAGGCCAAAAATGTTTTTAAAAGGGTGGTGGTGGTGGTGAATGGATGTTGTAAAGAAACAGTAACTGAACACTTAAATACCTGGCAACAAAGAAAGTAACCACCAAGAACGAGAAGCTAGGATTACATTAAACATTATCCTGCATGTAGCACAGCTTATGTGCCAGTCAGAGAGGAGGAAGGAAAACTCCCGCAGGAAGGCAGAGCACCAGCATGTGCTAGGTCATAAGCTCCAGGAGGGAAAAGGTGACTTCATCTCACTCAATCGTTGCTACAGCCCCAGCTCCCACGATCATGCCTGAGAAAAAGTTGGTGTTCCTTATGCCCGGCTTGAGAAGAGGATCTGACCTTAAAAATGAGACACATAGGGGCACCTGGGTGGCTCAGTCCGTTAAGCGGCTGCTTTCAGCTCAGGTCATGATTCTGGGGTCTCGGGATCGAGCACCACATGCGGCTCTCTGCTCAGTGGAGAGCCTGTTTCTCCCTCTCCATCTGCCTGTCACTCTGCCTACTTGTGCTCTCTCTGTTAAATAAATAAATAAAATCTTTTTTTTTTTTTTTAAGATTTTATTTATTTATTTGAGAGAGAGAGAGACTGAGAGAGAGAGCACATGAGAGGGGGGAGGGTTGGGAGGGTCAGAGGGAGAAGCAGACTCCCTGCCAAGCAGGGAGCCCGATGCGGGACTCAATCCAGGGACTCCAGGATCGTGACCTGAGCCGAAGGCAGTCGCTTAACCAACTGAGCCACCCAGGCGCCCAAAATAAATAAATAAAATCTTAAAAAAAAAAAAAAAAAAAGAGACACATGGTGTTTCTCTGCTATTCACATAACAGGAGTCTTCCCAAGGGCAGGATGAATTTTTCATATAATTTATTTAACTGGGTTTTAACTGAGTGGAAGCTGCACATAAAAGCATAACCATACCCAAACATTGGGTTGTCTGCTTCTCAAATGGTACTCCTGGTATATGAGAAGGCTAATCACCAATGAAACTGTGCAGTCTATTCAAAGTGCTCAGGAGCGAGTTCACTCAGTAAGTCACTGGCAACTGACAATCCCCTGCTAACACATACCAAAGAAAACCTAATCAATGGAAATTATACCAACAAAAGCTGCTTAATGGCGTAAATGCAAAAATAAAACAATATGCAGGGCACCTGGGTGGCTCAGATGGTTAAGCCTCTGCCTTCGGCTCGGGTCATGATCCCGGGGTCCTGGGATCGAGCCCCGCATCGGGCTCCCTGTTCCGCGGGAATCCTGCTTCTCCCCCTCCTTCCTGCTCAAGCTCTCTCTCACTATCTCTGTCTCTCTCAAATAAATAAATATTTAAAAAAATAAAATAAAATAAAACAATATGCTTCAAAATACCATGCTTGGAAACTGAAATACATGTCAGGAAAATAGCCCAGTCCATTAACTATGTTCTTAGAAACAGCATATCTGATGAAGAACAGACATGAGCACTGACACACTAACTATTTGGTCTGGATTAGGTCATATTCTAAACACAGCCTTATAAGCCTTTCCACACTGACTGGGTCTGCTTTAATTTATTAGCTAAATGATCAGGAACCTTGGTAAGAAAAAGACACAAAGATAATAAGATAATCTGGTTGAGGTTTGTTCTTTTGAGTTCCTACTATCCTTCTATCTATCTTAGTTCTAAGGTCCTATACTTTTTTGATTTAAGAAAATTAACAGTCTTCGTGTCCCTCAAATGTCATGTAATACAGGTAAAAGCTGGGACGGAAAACTAAAGTTATTATATAGTTTAGTCACTGCTTCTCCACGTGAACTTGGACAGACCACCACCTCTGATATTTTGGCTTGAATTTCCTCTTTCTGAAAGAATTACAGGTTCATCTGTATTTCAGAAGATGGCTCAGAAGGCAATGAAGATGCTTACAATGTTCCCTCACAGAAAAGAGGCAGAAGACTTACATACAATAAAGTCTTTTTCAGGGGCATCTTCCTCACACCACCTTCCGTTCCCATCTCGCATGTACTAGCTTGAGACTTCCCTTTATAAGCCCTCCTTCACAGCATCTATCATAATTCCAATTATTTCAATAATTAGTAATATCTGTCTATCCCCTGTATCCATGAGGACAGGGATTGTGTCTGTTCGTTTCCACCCAACAGAAACAGGCCCCCGGCGCTGGGCACAAGGCAAGCAGTTTCTGTCGGGTAAGTAAATGAATGAATGAATGAACGAAGGGAGTCCAAAGTTAACCATGGGGGAGGCAATCAGTTGAAAACGTTTCAACAATAAAACACGTACTCTTACTCTCTAAATCTGAAAACAGGAGCTTTTGAGAGCACTACTTTTTTCACAGACTATTAGCAGGCAAGAAAAACATAAAAAAAGAGAAGGAGAATACTCACCGGTGGTGGCTTCCTTCTCATCTCCAAACTGCGTGTGGCACCAAAACTCAGGGAAGCGATGACGGGACATCTCCCTAGGGAAGGTTCGTCGTCGCTATGCCAGTCGACACTGTCCTTCTCATTTCGGTAAAGATTGCAGAGCAAAGAGTTGAAGGTACGGCCGGTGTTCTCTTCAATCTGGTCCTTCAGCGTGCGCAGCACAGGGTGCCACTGCAATCGGGAGGCCAAGAAAAGGGGCAGAGATGGTTCACATCAGACACAAGGTGGCAGCCACAGGTAAAACAGAAGGAAGCGTAGAATCAGCCATGTTCTAAACAGGGGCGTGGAACAAGCAGAACCCTGGGAATGCGACAGCCACAGGCAAGCGGAGTCGAGTCCCTCCCATTATTTCTATTTTGATGCAAGCCGACCCCCACAATTTTACTAAGGTACTAAACTTGGTCTAGCAATGTCACGAGGACCAACCCTCTCTACGCATCTCCACCTTTCCGTGTAAAATACACGACCCTCGGAAGGCAGCGACTGTCATCACATTCAGTCAGTCAGTAAGGAGGTTAAGTGGAGCGGGGAGCCCGGCCTGCCGCCCCAGCCGATGAGCTGCCAGGAAGTTGGCAGGTACAGACTGAAGTCTGAGGAGTGCTGGGTGGCCCTCTGTTCACTCGACTCCTATTTTATCGTGAATGACAGAATTGCTTTTAAAAAAAGATATTTAGTATTTCCAGAGTGGCTAACTCCCTAAAAATAGAACCTAAGGGAAAAAACCTTCTACAGAATAGAATCACAACGTGGCCTTGATAACTACATGGGCTGTGAGCTATAGACGATTTAAACAGATACTACAGCCCTGCCTCCTGAGCTCCTGGTTCACTTACGCCATTTATATTTGGAACTCACGTCTTGCTACGCACACTATAGGAAGCTATGACCCGACCTTAGGTTGTAGTTGGTAGCTACAATCAGCATAGCTTGTATTAGTTCTTGTTAGAATTCTGTCCTTCCTCCAAGAAACCTCAAGTACTTACAGAGCTTCCTTTTATGACAGTTGTTCTCACACCCCTATCAAAAATTGAGGACCTCAAAGAACTTCTGTTTATATGGGTTACAACTATGACGTTTATCCTATTAAAAATTAATACTTAAAAAAGTTAAACTATTGGTTAATTCACTTAAAAAAATACAAACCCATGACACGTTAACATAAATACTATTTTACAAAAAATAACTCTATTTTCCAATACAAAAAACTGGCAAGAAGATGGCACTGTTTTGCAAATCTCTTTACTGTTTGGCTTCACTGAAGAGGTGATTCTCACATCTGCTTCTGCATTTAGTCTGTTACAATATGTTGTTTTTGTTGAAGTATATGAAGAAAATTGGCTTCACATGAATATGTAGTTAGAAAAGGACAGGAGTCTTTTCCAGCCTTTCCAAATAATTGTGGATACTCTTTGCTATTACACCAAAACTCAACAAGTACTAGTTGCAGTGTGGAATCGGAAACCATATCAACAAACTTCTGTTATATTCTCTTACATTTAAATCTACTGGTCCCGCTTGCACTTTGAATGAGTCTTTTAATCTTTTATGATTCTGTAACATCAAGCATTGGTCATGTGGAAAATATTGATCCAATGAGTAATGCAGACTGACATTACTGTTGACACATTTCATTATACAATTTTAAAAAACCATATCCATTTACTATTACCACTGATCTCATCAGAAAAGACTAAGTAATAGAAAGAGGTCAGGATCAAAGGGGCAGATATGACTTTTTCCAAAATTCTAATTCTCTTGAAAACCCAACTTTTATAGGTAACAAATCCTATCCATTGTTTTCCTTGAAGGGATACTCACTTCATTCATTTATTAGAAAATGTCTACCAAATACTCAAGCCTGAATAACTACAGTTTGTCTGCTAGTTGTTCTTCCAAACAAAAATGGTCCATGATAAAAGTAGGTAGTTCAGCTATAGCTTAAAGAATCACACAAGTGTTTTGCCTTGACAAACCATCACACTTGGCTTGTAGCAGGAGTGCTTTATGCATACTTTCCATTTCATCAAACTATTAAAGAGACAGGAACTCAAATATTGAGATTTAATAAAACTAATAATGTTTACTGCTTTGAGGAAATGTTCTTAAATGAAACCAGCCTTTTTTTTTTTTTTTTTAACTGGAAGTGCATGGTGGTGAAGAATACCATGAGCACTAGCATAGTTCGGTGACAATGACCTGATTCATGCTCAGGCACCAGAAGTTTTTTTGTTTTTGTTTTATTTTTAACCAGAAGTTTTTTATCCACCATTATTTTCGTACCATCAGTGCAAATTCAACATAGTGAAATTGTCATACACTCCTAATATCATTATAAAATTAGTTTTGACCGGGGCGCCTGGGTGGCTCAGTTGGTTAAGCGACTGCCTTCGGCTCAAGTCATGTTCCGGGATCGAGTCCCACATCGGCCTCCCTGCTCAGCGGGGAGTCTGGTTCTCCCTCTGACCCTCTTCCCTCTCGTGCTCTCTGTCTCTCATTCTCTCTCGCAAATAAATAAATAAAATCTTTAAAAAAAAAAAAAATAGTTTTGACCTGTGCACTCCCCAAAAGGACTTTGTGGACCCCTCCAGGGATCCACCAATTCTACTTTAAAAACTCTACCTTAGAGAACACCTTCAAAGTCATGTTCTATGTATGGTAATGAAGGAATACATGTTCAGCAAAGGAAAGCATAATATTATAAGTATATCCCATGGCTACTGTCAGGTAAAACTGCCAAGGAAGCATATGTGGGAATCACTCAGCTTTGCTGCGATGTAGCAATCGTGGTAAACTGGGATTCCTTATTATGGATATTAGCATTACATTCTAAGCAGAGGATTTTTTAAAATAAACAACGATAACAACAAACCAAACTTAGATCAGTAAAATAGAAATGTTACTAACCTAACCTATGTTCAAGAGAATAAATTTCAAAGTGAAATTTCATAATCATGTTAGCAGGCTGTATTTCCTATTTATTTTATGGCTTTAAGCTTATCTTCACGGAGACAAAGATCAGATGCTAGAATTATACACTTAGCAAGAAAAACAAGAATGTAAAAGAGGAAGATAGTTTTTCTGCAATGTGACTGAGAAACTAATTAGCACTTCCCTGACTTGCTTAGGGACTGAGTACTGTGATAACTCCAAGTTTGCATTATGTTTCTAAGTGGGTATATATTTTTACTGGTTATTTTTGGTGGTGAAGTAAGGAGAAAAAAAGGGGATAATGAACTAGAGGATTAATTTAGACTCTCCAGCCAATACTCTATATACAGATCCCTCAGAACTGAATGTCTAAATTAAAAATTCAGCATCATCTCACTGTTCAGTGAAGATATTCTATCCTTAAAAGACATTTGAGGAAAAGAGTATGAGAAAATATGAATCACAGAAGTAAAAGGACCTATTCAGTGGCTTTCAAAAACTGTTTTGTAGAGTCTTAGGTACCACAGAGGTGTCTCTGGGATTACAGTAGGAGAAAGGAGAGGTCAAGCTGGTAGGACTCCCAGCTAGTCAAGGCACTTCTTTATTTTCATACATTGGGTCCATATAAGATTTAGTTCAAAAAAGACTAAAAGAAGTTTAATAACCTCTGACTGAATTTGCTCCTGCGCTTTAGGTTATTAAGCTTGAGGTAATAATTTTAAAATTAAACAAGTTAAAATTAAACAAGAACCCCCAACACACATATATACCTTTACAAAATCTGAGAAAAAGACATCTCTTTTGGGTTTTTTTGTTTGTTTTTTAAAGATTTTATTTATTTGAGAGAGAGAGTGAGAGAGAGAGAGAGTACAAGAGGGGGTAGCGGGAGAGGGAGAAGCAGACTCCCTGCTGAGCAGGGGGCCGGATGCAGGACTCGATCCCGGGACTCCAGGATCATGACCTGAGCCGAAGGCAGTCGCCTAACCAACTGAGCCACCTAGGCGCCCATCTCTTTTGATTTTGTTCATGATGGTATATAAACAAACTAAATCTTTTAGCAATAAACACAAAGCTATGAGCCAGCCAAATTCAAATAAAAGAATTCTAATCTGACAACCTTAATATCCAACAAAAAAGCTTGCTTGAATAAATTATGGTATGTACATACAGATTATGGAATACTACATAGCTATTAAATATGATGTAAAAGAATATTTAATGATACTAAGATATGTTAATGATACAGTTAAATGAAATGTAGTATACAGTTGATATTTTTATAGAAAAATTCTCTCTATACAATTCCCTAAAATGAAAAAAAGTGTGTGTGTGGGGGGAGGTGCACCTGGCTGGCTCAGTTGGTAGAGCACTTGACTCTGGATCTCAGAGTCATGAGTTCAAGCCCCATGTAGGGCATGGAACCTACTTTAAAAAATAAAAAGACTGGAGCCAAACATCAGGTGGAAGAATTACCCAAAATTTTAATATTCTTCATGCTTATCTGTAGTTTCTAAAATTCTTGAAAATAAATTCACATTACATACATTGTAAGAAAAAGACTGTCATTAAAAAATTCTTTTGAAGAGTTGTCAAAATGTCTTCAAAGCATAAGTGGCCACAATATTCAGCATATCTGATGTGCCTTATGTTTATTCTAAAGCAGGGGTTCTTTTTTTTTTTTTTTTAAAGATTTATTTATTTATTTATTTGACAGAGAGAGAGAGAGAGAGAGAGAGAGACACAGCGAGAGAGGGAACACAAGCAGGGGCAGAGGGAGAGGGAGAAGCAGGCTTCCCGCGGAGCAGAGAGCCCGATGCGGGGCTCGATCCCAGGACCCTGGGATCATGACCTGAGCCGAAGGCAGATGCTTAACGACTGAGCCACCCAGGCGCCCCTAAAGCAGGGGTTCTTAGCCAAGGGCAATTCTGCCCCCCAGCAAATGTCTGGCAACATCTGGAGTCATTTTTGGTTGTCCCAACTGGGTGAAGGGTGCTTCTGGCATCTATTGGGTACAAATCATGGATACTGCTAAACATTCTACAATGTACAGGACAGCCCCAACAACAAAGAATTATCCAGCCCAAAAACCAATAATACCAAGGTTGAGAAATCCTGTTCTAAAAGATTAACTACAGTGATGGGAAAGAACTTCTTCCTTAGAGCCTGTTTAATCCTCAACTTCTCTGCTATGACTGTTGACAAGAAGGTTAATTAATTCTGACAGAAACATGGCCAGCCATCTGTTGGATTGGTCTAATTCAATTCTCTTCATGTTTCCAAATCAACCTCAGCTATAAAGGGTCTCAGCACTTCCCTGGGTCACATTTTAAATGCAGCCCTACAAACCAAAGCATGGAGCTATCTTATGTGAAAAAGCCACATCCCCACTTCCACCCCCATCAATATTTTGTCCCTGAACACTGTAGCCAAGTGGGAGTTTATTATTACAAATTACTAGAAGCTCTAAAATGTGTCATATTTCTGTTTATCCCTGTGTCATAAGAAAAACTCCATTTTCTTCAAAGTCTCATTCAATAAAGCATAAAATTATTTGCCAAAGGCAAGATTCCAGGAACTAAACAGGGAGCTGTTTCTTGGACCTTAACTCTATGCTTTGGACAAGCTTAATTTATATACTAGAATCTCCTTGTCTACTGTCATGGAAATTTTTAAAAACAAAAGAAACAGTAGAAATAAGCCAAAGCCACGATAAGATTTCTAAAGCCTAAAAACTGCAGCCACAGAATGAGTATAAAGTCAACAAGAAAAACACGAGACTTTTTTTTTCACAAATGGCAAAAGAGCCTGAGAAATGGAAAGAGATGTTCTGACCTCACTGGCCAGTCATAAGAATTTGGCTCCAAAGCAAATGTGTACCAGGCAGGGTGTACACAGAAGGCTACGGCCAGAAAAGCTGGGGAAAGGGGAAGATTTGAAGAAATGGTTCATTTTCCTGAAATCCTTGTGCCTGGCTCCAGTTTATTCTAGCTCCAATTTTTTTCTCATCCTCAGAGTTCATCTCTAGATAAAAAAACACACCGAGAATGATAAGCACAAAGACTCAGTGTTTGAACCCAGAGAATTTTTGGAACTAGGAACCATCATACAACTCTACAAGATAATATACTGTTATTTTACAGTACTCTACATTTATAGTACATAGTCTATAAAACCATACCAACAACAATATTCCAACATACGTGAGGATTTGGTTCCATAGTGATTCTTGAGTAAGTGTAAGGAAGTTCTCCATACCATGCTGTAAGTCTTGGTTGCTTGTAAGTTACATCTAAGAAAGAAAATACAGGGCCTTTGAAATGGTTTAATGCTATTTAAGGTGTGCCTACTGAGTGCCATGCAATGTGCAACAAACCATGAGAAATACAAAGGCAGAGTGAAGATGGGCTCTGACTCAAGGTTCCATGTTCTTAGAGGACATGGGATTTCACGAGTAGAACGCGTCAGAGCTCAAAGAAAGAAGACAAGAGAAGGTGTGTTGGCAGAAACCATAGCAGCAAAGGCTCTGAGGTGAGACTATGTGTGACGTGTGTCAGTGAGGACATAAATAAGAGTGGAGTCACACTGCAGAACAGTTCAGATTAGGGAGGGTCTAAAAAAAGCAGGTTATGAAGTCTGAACCCTTGTAGGCAGGAATCTGTGACACCAACATCCATACAAGAAACAAGACACACTGTTCATCAACGTGCCACCTTTTGATTTTAAGAAAAAGGGGTTTTGACCAACCACAGCACAAAGCTGTAGTCAGAAGTTTTTGATGTCCAATTTATCTAAAAGAGAGTTATCCATAGATCTGCTATTTCTCCCCCACAACTGGTATCAACTGCTACAGTAAGAACAATAATGATAAAGGCAACCAGCATTCACTGAAGGCTGAGTGTGTACCAGTCATTCTGCTAAGCACTTATCAGGCAGGATCTCATTTAATTATCACAACCACCTTACGAGGTAGGTATTATTGTACCATTTTACAGATCAGAAAACCAAGAATCAGAAAACTACTTAACTATAACTTGCTTAAAATTAACAATTACTCTGAATGACAAAGGCAGCAATCAAGGCCAACTTGGCCAACAAAAGCCCTACTGTGGAGTCAGGAGAAAAAGTGGACCCCTATTCTGATGTCTGAGTCACAAAAATGAAGCCAGTATGCCTTGCCTCTTTCTTCACAGAAAATTTGAATTCACTCAAGGGTCCAGAAAGGAGATTTTATGCTAGAGCATGGACGTCCTCCAGTGGCCACCTCCGGTATAGCAGATACTGCCGGCCCCTGGATGCCCACAGAGGAGGGAGCAGGATCCAAGTCAGGTAATCTTTACAAGCTCAGGACAGTACAGATGCTGAAACTAAAAGACACTGGACTCTTCTAGTGAAACTAAAATGAGAATAAAAAGCCGGTAATAAGGATCATAAAAGAACATATGCCAAATAGAATCAGAAAAAGGAAAGTTCTTGAAGTTTCTATGAAGAAAGAGGAAAGCTGGCACTATTTAAAGTAATAAAGGTAATGAACAAACTCAAAAAGAGAGCTATCAACCACAGTTCAGCCAAACCAAACATCCTTTGGTTCCTTGAACTGCCACCTCCATGCTCCTGCCCTGTTCGCTCTGATCTCTGAGCCTGCCACCTGCTGTTTCTTCTGCCTGGAATACTCTTCCCTGTCCCTTTTGGCTGGCAAATCCCTAATCATCCTTAGGGTCTCTGTTAGGTTTTAAATCTGTTTAATTAAGACTGGGTGTGGTGAAAGAGACAACAGTATCAGAAAACATTCTAGAAAGGGAGACCAGGCAGCAACAAGTGCGATCTCAGACAGTACTTACCATCTCTGATGCCAGTTCTCTGTTTCCAGGGAACGACCTCACAAAGCTGTTGCAATACCCAGTCGGCTTCTTTTAGGTCAATAAAGCCAGGATACAAACACACCCTTGATGCAGAAAGAACCATTATTAACTAAAGAACACAGAAAAGAGGGGCACCTGGGTGGCTCAGTGGGTTAGGCATCTGACTGTTAATTTCGGCTCAGGTCATGATCTCGGGGTCCTGGGATCAAGCCCCACCTCAGGGGCTCCGCGCTCAGTGTGGAGTCTGCTTGAGATTCTCTCTCTCCTTCTCCCTTTGCCCTTCCCCCCACTCACGTGCACTCTCTCTCTCTCAAAATAAATAAAATCTTAAAAAAAAGAAAAAAAACACAGAGAAGATGGGCTAGTCTCTAAGCATTAGTGGAGGAAGTTAATCTGGATGCTTCCTCCTGGGTAGACAAAATCATCTTACCACATGTCTCATGGCAAACAGAACCTAATTATCACCAGGTCATGATGTTCCAAATGTGAAATAAAAAACTTTCATGTTAAGACAAATGAAAGAGACAATAAAGGAAAAAGAATGCATGAGGGCTTTTAGAGACATGCTTCAAATATGCTCTACCACCACCTGTTGTGAAACCTTGGGCAAATTACTTAACCTTTCTGAACCTTAGTTTTTCTGAAACACAAAAATGATATCCACCTCATAGGCTCACTATGAAAAGTAGAGTAATAAAATGCCTGGCCCTGTGTTATTTTAACAATTGGTTATCTTCTGAGACTAAGCCAATTGTAGGGAAAGCGATCTTTTATGAATGTATCAAAATAAACATTTCCAAATGAGGGTTCTTTCTCTCACTGAATATACACTTACTTCAATAATGCCCAGTCAGCTCAAAATCATTTTTCCTTCTTAAGAAATGTTCTCAAAGCCCTTGGAACATTCTGTTGAACTTCACTCTCTGGAGGTGTGTTTGATTTTTTGAAAGAGCCAAAGCTCACTTCCTGAAGCCATACCTGGTTGGCAATGAGATGCGACCAAAATAATGCAACTGGGTTTCTCGCATGATTATTAAACTTGCTTTGAAAGGGAGGTTCTGAAGCTCTTTCTAAGCAACTCATTTAGATATGTAAGTTCTGATATATTTATTTTAAATGCTTAATTATTTTATAGTGACAATTAGTATATTCTTGCATTAAGGGAATGCTTTCAAAAAAATTTTTTTTTTTTAAGATTTTATCTATTTCAGAGAGAGAGAGACAGAGAGAGCGTGTGCAAGCAGGGGAAGGAGCAGAGGGGGAGGGAGAAAGAATCTCAAACAGACTATATGCTGAGCCCGACCTCGCGACCCTGAGACCACAACCTGAGCCAAAACCAAGAGTTGGACACTTAACCAACTGAGCCACCCCAGGCATCCCTCAAAATGTTTTTAATAAGGATTAATGCCAGCTATACCCTAAATTGTATATGCTTTAACTTTACTAAAACTTACCTTAATGTAGATTAAGGTATTAATCCACTCATGCAGATTAAGGGTTAACATAATGTTATAAATATATGTAGTAGTATGACTAATACAATAAATGTAATAATACATATTACATAATGTAATAATAATAATATGTAGCACTCAGAGCAAAGAAGTGGAGGCTAGATCAACTCAAATTTTAAGTTACTATGTGGCACTTGGAAAAAGTCCTCAATCTCTTTGGCCATCTGAAAAACTACAGAAGTAATAGTTACTGTACCTGAAAGAGAGGCTGTAAAAATATTCTGAAGTTAGAAATGCTATGTAAAAAGAGATAGTACTAAATTCTCACTCCCCAAGAATTTCGGAGGCAGAGGTTACCTGTTTCAAGTAAAGGAGCACAATATTTTAAGAGACTACAACTCAATAATATAGTCACTTTCTAGGGAGGATGTACTTACCTAGATACACCTGTGGGTGATACACTGATTTCATACACACCCTCTTTGCTACAGAAATTAAGAAAACAGACTTGTTAGTACCAGCCAAATAATAGCCTCCACCCAGCGGAAGAGCCGTGCTTTGCAATTCCCAAACTTCTGGTCACCAATATCATTTCAGAATGAGGATACACTATGAGGGAAGCATAACCCCACCTTGTTCCACCACTGAGATGAAGTGCAAGAGGGTGGCAGATAATTGATGTCACTGGGAATTGAATCCTGAGAGGATCAGGCTATGGAGACAAAGACTAGAATAAAATAAATTATGATTCTACCCCTTTGTATTTCATCCATAATTTAGGCTGATATGGTCCAGAAATCTATCACACAAAGGGGTACCAAAGAGAGCATCTCTTTGGAGACTCTGGAATAGGAGCATTTACAGATAGCAAATACATCTCAGGGCTCTGAACTTCTGTTGCTTTCAGATACATGTCTAATGAGGTTCCTGCTCTGATTAAAATCCTTCAAAGGCTCCCCACCAACTTTTCAGCACTGCATTCAAGGTCCCCATGATGTAGCTCCACTTCTTGACAGCTCCCATCCACTTATGATCCTCCACTGCTGCTTGGAATCTCCTGAATTCACCATGGTATTTTTTTAAGATTTTCTTTATTTGATAGAGAAAGCAGACAAGCACTAGTAGGGGGAGGGGCAGAGGGAGAAGGAGAGGCAGACTCCCTGCTGAGCTGGGAGCCCAACAAGGGGCTCGATCCCAGGACCCCAGGATCATGACCTGAGCCGAAGGCAGATGCTTAACCCACTAAGCCACCCAGGCGCTCCACACCACAGTATTTCTTTTTTTTTTTTTTTAAAGATTTTATTTATTTATTTTACAGAGAGAGACACAGCGAGAGAGGGAACACAAGCAGGGGGAGTGGGAGAGGGAGAAGCAGGCTCCACGCAGAGCAGGGAGCCCGATGTGGGACTCGATCCCAGGACCCTGGGATCACGACCTGAGCCGAAGGCAGTTGCTTAACCAACTGAGCCACCCAGGCGCCCCACACCACAGTATTTCTAATCCTGCTTTTCTACAAACTGGAATGCCTCCCCACATCCAGCACCCCCAATCCAACCCACCCGAGCTTTGGTCTGGCAGAAAATTCTAATTCATTCCTCATAATCTCAGTTCAGCCTCACCTTCTGTAACACTTTTCTGACCTCTAATACACCCAAATAATGTTAACCATCTCATCTTCTGTGCTACCACTAGACCTTACTACAAGTCTACTGTTTTATAATATACATGACTGCAATTTATCTGATTACATGTCTATTTCATTTACTAAACTGTGGGCTACTGAGAGGCAAGGAATGGGTTACTGTTCTGTTTCCCAGGGCCTCACACATTGTAGATGGGCAGTAAAAGCTTAGAATTTAACCTAATGTGCAAAAGTACAAAACTGTTCCAGATGTGCAGGGTGGCCAAGGCCACAGTGAGAAAACTGACCCAGACTGCATAGGTTCCTATACCAAGATAACAGTGTCAGACCCTTCTCGGACAGAGGTAAGTTACAGAGAACAACATAAAGGGACAGTTTTCACATCACCCTCTGCCATGTGAGTTAGTAGTTTGTGATCTGTGAGCTGGGCTCTTAGGCAGATGTGAGAACCCCTTTGAGCAAAAATCTAGGCAGAGTTATTGTCATATACATTTATCACATCTCTAGATGAGTTGATTATAGTTTCCCAGAGTGTGAATACAATGTTTCAGTGTGATATGTTTTGGGCCATATTTAGAAATTGGCTCACTTCAAATATGGGTGACATTTTTGGCTATTAAATAAAAATCTAACAGAGCTAACTTTAGATAACCAGAATTAACCAACATTGGGGTCAAGCAGGAAGAAGTTGTCATTTTGCTCTGACTTGAATATTCACAGCTGCCCATTTTTTCAGCCTGAATGTCCCATCTGTACCTAGTAACAAGTTTCATGGTTTTGTTTATTCTCTTTATTACCAATGGAGGCAACGTCACACTGGTGTTCGTAAACAAATCCAAGACTGTCAGAGCCACCAGACTCTGCCTTAAGTGATCGTGTGGTCCAAACCTTTAATATTACAGACAAGGAAACTAAAGTCCAGAAAGATGGCCTTAATGTACCTAATGACTAGTTACATAGCTAACTAGTGGCCAAGCCACAACTATATACCTTCTTTCAAAGTATAATGACATTCGTGTTAGTTTCAAATTTTTCTAGGCTATACAAGTCAACCTGCAAACAGCCAAACAGCGTAACAGACTGTTCATGAGCAATAAACACACTAATTTGTTAAAATAAAAGGACGCTTTCTATAGGCAATTTATCTCTATCAGAAGGAAAAGAGAAATCAAAGCATCTTTTTTTAAAAAAATATTTGAGAGAGAGAGAGAGAGAGCCTCAAGCAGAGGGAGGGGCAGAAGGAGAGGGAGAGAATCTCAAGCAGGCTCCAACTCCCAGCTGAGCACAGAGCCTGATGTGGGGCTCGATCTCACCACCCTGAGATCATGACCTGAACTGAAATCAAGAGTTGGCCGCTTCACTGACTGAGCCACTCAGGCACCCCACAAAGCATCTTTCATTAATTTCAGAAAAGAATATTTTACATACAGATCAGTGTAAGAAGAATTATAAATTAAGGATGATATTTTATACACAGATCAATGTAAGAGGAATTTAAATTGCTCTGGAACAATTATATGAACATTCAAGGCCCTCTAGATTTTGAGCAGCTTTCATAAGTGTTGCTAGTAAAATAGAACCTGACTAAAGTCTTCTCAAAAAGCCATGTTTCAGGGCACCTGGGTGGCACAGTTGGTTAAACATCCAACTCTTGGTTTCAGCTCAGGTCTTGACATCAAGCCCTGTGTGGGGCTCTAAGCTCAGTGAGGAGTCTGCTAAAGTTTCTCTCTCCCTCTGCCCCTCCCTGTGTGCACTCTCTCTCCCTCTAAAATAAATAAATAAATTTAAAAAAACCCAAAATGCCACGTTTCAATGACTGAGGGAAAATCCCCCTCTGTCTTTACCTAGGAGATATTTTAGTTTACTATCTGCAGATTAATGAATCAGGGTCAGGAAATCCACAGCAGAGTCTCAGTTTAACGGACATGTATCTTGTTGCATTTTCCACACCATCAGCAAATTGAGAAATGCTTCCCAAAACAGCAACTTTAAAGACATCTAAGATACAACTACCCCACCCTAAAATTAAGACAGTAACTGGGCCATTATCTCTTTCAGATGGAAAACCCAATGAGGGAAAGATCTGGCCTCTCCATTTTACTGTGGGCAACAGATACAGAAAGGCAGCAAATTACTTACTCAATCACTCGTGGCTCTGGGGCTCTGCGTACTACCTGCAAGGAAACAGGCAGATTTTACTCCTGGAATGATCCTTAATCCTCAGAAAGGCTTATGTGCAGGATTACTATATCCTCTCATTTCTGATAAAAATAAGTCAAGTTTAAAACTATCCCTTTTTTTTATTTCAAGCACTTACTACCCCACCAGAGACAGAGACCCTTGTCTGCTTTTCTTAGAGCCACTTCACAGTTGCTAGTGGGCAAGAAAAAATAATAAAAGTAGAATTAATCCATTTTCAGAGCAGCCAATAATTCTAGAAAAACCTTCTTTCCAGGAGAACAGAAGATATACTGGGGCACGTAGGTGGCACAGTCGGTTGAGCATCCGACTCTTGGTTTTGGCTTAGGTCATGATCTCAGGGTTGTAAGACTGAGCCCTGCACTGGGCTCCATGCTCTCTCTCCCTCTCCCTCTGCTGAGTCATGCACATGTGCTCTCTTTCTCTCTCAAGTAAATAAATTAAGTTAAATCTTTTAAAAAATAAAACAGAAGATAAACTAAGAAATAAGTTTTAATCATTACTTATATAATCACTATTACAGCAAGATGCCTGATTTTTAGCTTTTTCCATGTCACTAACAACAGCGAATCTTCACTGTTTCTTACAATTTTTCCCCATGGGGAGAAAAAAAAAAGCTAAAAAATCAGGCATTGTAGTAGCTGAAAACTTCAACCCAATTCCAGAGACATGTGCTACACTAGCACTAAAGACAGCATGGTTTTAGGACTGTTAGAACTCAAATAACCAATGCAAGTGCTAGTCATGGTATAACCTCCTTCCCCCGCCCCAAATGGGAATTATATATGCCCATCAATTGGGAGCAGACTACAAAGAATCTTTAGACATACTAAGGAAATTGACTCCACATTTCATTATTATTACAGGCCTTTCATGCTCCTTTTATTAGTAAATTTATTCATCACCACTGGATTGTCTACTATGTGAATATAGCTTTTACAAGCAAATCTGTTAATGTTGTAGGAGAAATAAGAATTTACCTGCTGGGGTTCTTTGAACACAAACTGTCTGTCCACAAGATGATGCTCCTTGTTCATCCATGTCTGACCAGGTCTCTGGTGGAGATGGCTCTTAGCAGTGGTAGCTGAATCAAGAGCAAGAATAGACGTGAACCAGACTCAAAAAGTCTGCTCTGGGGAGCAAGGGCCAATAAAATCTACTTGAAGATAACCAATATGACACCTAGAAATTAATTAGTAAAGTCTGTTGGAGATCCCACCTCACACACTGAAAGGTTTGAGAGCTGTGACTAAATATGAGAAATACTATACCTCAACCCTCAATAAAAGATGACCATCAAGAAAATCAAAGTACCAGCTACATTTTAAATAACTCCTAACATCAACTGAAATGCAAGCATATTCACACAAGATCCCCACGAGCTCTTGCCTGGCTGAGCGGTGGCCTGGCTCTTCACGGGGCCAGCCCAGGCTCCCTGCACTCGGGCTCGCCGTCTTTTGTCCTCCATGTTGACCAAAAAGGCTTCTGCTCTTAGCTTTCAGATTTAATTCCTGATCAAAATCACACAACGGTATCTGTTGAAAATAAAAAAAAAGTGCTTTTAGTTAGGATTGTGAGTGTGAACTATCTAAGGGAGTCATTATAATCCTTTCAAGCTCAATGCAATTGGAGATTCTATGTAAAATTCATTTCTGTCATCATAGCATCTCAATCAAGGAGCCTAATAAATCACTTAGGACTGCTGGTTTTAATGTTTATCTTTTGCAATCTTAAGTATTTTTTAAATTTAAAATTTTTTTTTTGTTGTTAGAGAGAGAGTGAGCGTGGGGAGTGGGGCGGACAGAGGGAGAGAGAAAATCTTAAAGAGACTTCACGCCCAGCGCAGAGCCCATGCAGGGCTCGATCTCACTACCCTGAGATCATGACCTGAGCCAAAATCGAGAGTCGGACTGAGCCACCCAGGCGCCCCAACAATCTTACAGTACTTTTGCTTCTTTCACAAGAAAGTACATGTTAAGAAATTCTAAGATCTACCACATCGGTCTTATTAGTCTGCAAGAAACTGTAATATTCCCTCACCTATACGGATATTGAGAAATAGGCTCAGACTCAGTTTCCAAGGGCATTTCCATATTCCATTATAACTAAACTTATAATTAAACTTCCCTGAAAGCTTGTTAAAAATACCCATGGCCTGTCTCAGAAGATCTGATTTAGGATGGATACAAGTGTTTGTCTTTGTGACAAGCATTGTAGGAGCTGGTTCTAAGTGGGCATGTATGAGGACCACAAGGTTAAGTGGCTCACCCAGAGTCACTCAGGAAATCAATAGGAGGTAGACTAACATTCAAACTTTATTAACTTCCAGTTTTCAGTTAATTGAAAAGAAACACCTCATAATGGCCAGTAATACTAATTTGGCATTTTTGCCAATAAAATTTCAGCTCACAGCAAATATAGGAACACAGCTACAAAGAGACAAAAACAGGGAGGTTCGAGCCACATGTTCTGAACCTATGATCCATTTCCTTATTGCGCTAAGAAAGCTTCACATTTCAAGTCCTCACAGGTAACAAGCTCATTTTATGGCTTATTTAGAAAACCAATTTCCAGACCTTCCCCAGACCTCCTGAGCTGTCCTGGGCTCAGGAATATGGACATTTAACAAATTTCCCCAGGTGATAAGTATATAATTCCTTCTCATTTAATAGGTAGGGAGAGGACAGAGACTGCCATCTGCCCAAAAAGAGTTAACGGCCCAGAGTCAAATACCAACACTCCACTCCCACAAGACGTGTAGAGGAAGCTTACATTTTCTCTCAACAAGACCGTCAAAAACTCTTAACACAATTAGCTATAGTTCTGATTTTGTGGCCCAGAAACTGTTAACTAACCCCACCTTCCATCCTGGGATTCTTTACCCACATAAAGCTTGAGAACCCTGCAGAAGGCAAAAGGCAAGGGCGCCGGCGCCAGCCTGACTCGCTCTGAATCTAAATCTAGCAGCTCCCAGCTGCGTGACCTGTCAGCTGACTCCACCTTTCCGGGCCTGAGTTTCTTCCTCCGTAAAGAGGGAAACCAATACCTCTCACGGCTGAAGTGCAGAATAGGCGGTCCTCGAAGGTGAAAAAGCCCGTTAGCAACTCTCCCTATTTTAGAGCCTTCTCTTCCAGGAGCCCCAGGATGCGGTCCTGGAGGTCGACCGGGGAGGGTCCTCAGGGGGCGGTCCCCATACCCCCAGCCACCCAGCAGGGACCGGGACCCCACGGCAGCCGGCTGAGCCCGGCGCGCACGGACAAACCCGCTCGGTCCTGGAACGGACCCCGCTGCCCCAGACCCGCTCCGCCGCCGGCTGTCGGGGAACCTTAAGAGGGGAGCACCGGCTCCGACATCCCGCAACCACAGGCCGCGGCGTCAGGTATTTCCGCTGACGTCACGCGCCGCCGCCGCCACTTCCGGCGCCGTCGGCTGGAGTCCGGGCAGCTCCGTGTACCCCGCACCGGGAGGGCCGGCTCGCTGAAGGAGCGATGGGCGGGCCGGGATTGGAGGCGAGCGCAGATCGAAGGTGCGGTAGGGGCTCCGTGAGGAGCGGGGATATGGCGAAGGTGGGAATGAAGACGTGCTTCCTAGGCCGAGGTCTCTCGGGCCATAATCCACCCCCCTTGCTCCGAAACCAAACTGGAGACGTCTAAGCGCCGGCATCCTTGGTCTCTGCGGAGTGACTGGGTCCCAGCAGGGCTGGTAGGAGGGCGAGGGGCTTGGGAAACCAGGTCGTGATGTGTTAAGTAAAAGGATTTGGATTTTACCCTGGAAGCCCTGGAGAGTGTAACAGGCGCTTCCTTTGCGTTCCCACCGCAGCCTGTGCATCCCTCCATCAGTAACACAACAGGGCATGGGACCACGCCGCCTCCTCCATGACTCTCCGGTGCTAAGCACATTTTGCTTCAGTGAACAGACCGAAGTTTCAGTCCAGGCGACACCATTCACTAGATGTATAATCTAGGGCAGGTACTCCACTTCTTTATAAAGTGGGCATAGCTCTTGTTGGGAGAGTTAAATGTGGTAATGCATGTAAAGAATTTAGCAGGGTGCTTGGAACACAATAGAAATTCAGTTGAGTGTCTTAAAAAGTAAAAAATAAAATAAAATAAATTTGGGCACCTGGGTGGCTCAGTCGGGTAAGCGTCTGCCTTTGGCTCAGTCATGATCCCAGGGTCCTGGGATTGAGCCCCGCATGGGGCTCCCTGCTCAGTGGGGAGCCTGCTTCTCCCTCTCCTTCTGCCTGTGGCTCCCCCTGCTTGTGTTCTCTGTCAAATAAATAAATTAAATTAAATATTTTTTAAAAAATAAAAATTAAAAATAAATAAATAAATTTGACCAGTGGGTCAAAAGGTGTCTTCTATTCACCCCATCTGAGTTTTTGAGAAACATCTTTAAATGGCCACGTTAAACCACGTATCCTGCAGTGTGAAAATAGCAAAAGTAGCACTGAATTGTCTGTGTTGTGCAGCTTATTCTCTAAGACCTACCAAATCACAGTCACTGTGGGAGTCTTTAGAATAAGTCTTGTATTATATACTGCTTATCTGCAAAAGCTCAGTGTACCCCACCAATCTAATTTTCACAGCATCCATCATTCTTTGTTATACTTTGTGACACTGAAGGAAAATGATTTATCCTAGAACTGAAAGGAGAGAAAAGTGGTAAGTCCAGACAGTAATTTTTTTCTTTTTTTTTTTTTTTCTTTTTTTTCTTTTTTGGCCCCATCAACTAGTAATTTGTCAGTGTCTGTTTCTGGTTCAGGAACCTTGGCTGTGTCTTCCAAAGGATGTCATTTCTTTCTTTTCAGTGATTATAGTTTTGGAACAGGGACAAAGAAGTTGGATTGAGGAGTTCCTAAAAGTAGTAATTAACACCTTTTCAGCCTCCAAGTAGAACATTTCTCAAGAATCCATCCATGGCCCACTTGCATCCCAAATAACTGCATTTTTAACAAAATCACTTGCATTTTTACCAAGCGTTCAAGGTGATTTAGATGCAGAGAAATTTTAGAAACCTTCAGGATGCATGTAGGGTGACAAATCATTCTCATCTGTCTGGGACTGAGAGGTTTTCCAGGACATAGGACTTTAAATGCTAAAGGCAGGACGGTATCGGGCAACTGAAATGGTTGGTTACCCTAGATACATGTGAATATGTAGTACTAGAAAGATGTTCTTTGTGAGTCTTACAACGTGAGTTTCCCCATTTCTATATGCAGTATTTGTGTTTTTATTGGGGGGGGCGGTCAAGACCGTGGGAGAGGGATTGAAAATGAGGTGCCTTGCCAGTTAACAGCCCACCGATTCTCAGCTCCAAACCCTTCCTCCCCTGCCCTACTTGCAATACTGGAACATTTCTCCCTTGCCATTTGGTCCGATGTGAAGCGTCATCAGTAGAGGGTGCTGGAGGGACATTAGAGGAGGAAAGGGTCCTTCCTGATTCAAGCGCTCCTCTCAGCTGGCTATGCAATGCAGGGCAGCCGGCGGTGTTTGGCATCTCTTTGTGGGCTGAATTGCAATGTTAGTGGAATTTACAGCCTTGTTAAGTTCCTCTTGTGAAGTTAAGGCATCAATTGGGAAGGAATGGGATATCAAATTTTGAAATAGTGACATCTGCTTGGACCTAGAGGAAACTGACGTTTCTTGGACACCCAAGTTACCCTAAACCTCCCTGAACCTCCCAAGGCAGTGGAAGTAGCTTGCTGTCCTGTGTCTGAGGAGACGAGCGGTCCTTTGCTTGAAAACCCTATGAAACCCTCACCTGGAGCAGATGACTTGAAATGCTCAGCATAGATCTGAACTTCCTAACAGATGGGAGGGCACTCCCAGATTTGTGCCTTCCTTGGTGGTTTGTGTGGTGTGTGTGTGTGTGTGTGTGTGTGCGTGTGCGTGCACGCACACGCACACCCCCGCACGTGCACATGCCTGCCTGGACCTAGATGTTGGCAGTGCCTGCTCCTTCTATCTGCTGTTTCTGTATTCTAAGAATTTCCCTTTCCCCTTGTAGGTGGTACCCTATTATAGTTATTAATCTTTCCCCTGAAACTATATAATTTCTGTCTCCTGTTTGATTCCTGTTACGGTGTGATTGTGATATCAGGGGTTGGAAGCAATAGCTAGCAAGTGGCTGGCCCCAGAGTTGGCTTTAAACTCTAAGTAATCGGTTTGGCTCTGATTTGGACGCTTACTATCATCCCTGGCCCTTTACTCTTGTGCTACTCTCTCATTTCCCTTCACCCAAGACCGCCTTCCCAAAGTTGTGCTGATTTGGTTGCCTTCCCTCTACTCTGAAACCAGCATTTCTCAGCGTATGGTTGGAAGACCATCTGCATTGGAGTCCCTAGGGGATGCTTATAAAAAATGAACATTCCAGGCCGCCCATCGAGATTCTGGGTTAGTGGGTCTGGGGTGAGGGCCGAGCAACTTGCATATTTAATCGTGCCTTGTTTCGTCTTCCAAGAACCTGCCAGAGTTCTGCCTTTTCTAGCTGCCTGCTTTCTGCAGGTGACTACTTCCCACTCAACAGATACCTCATCCCTTGGATGGCAAAACTGATAGATGCTTTAAGTGCTAGTAGCTCTTACCAGAAGGATTCTGAGTGAGCTACACATTGCCGCCTATTTTCAGTTGCTGATTTTCACACCAGACTCTTGCCAATCCTTGCCTGTTTCGATCATATGCTGCTTATGGAGTGCCTGCTGAGAATTCTGGAGAAAATCCAATCCAGGGAAAATAATGGCACATCATGCTAATAGCTCTCAGCGAAGGTACTGCATTGAGAAATTCCCAGCCCATGTCTCACTGCCAGAGGCTAAGCGGTTTCCAGCTTGAAGAGGGGAGAGTGGGGCAGGAACCCGCCAACTCTGCAGCGGGCTGTCATGGAGGCTTTCAAGTCTCCACCAACTCTAACCAATGTCGAGGAAGACAGGATGCTTCCCCAGACTCCAGACAGGAACTCCTCCCATTCAACACCCAGCACAACTACAGATGCTGCTCGAGATAAAATCTGCCAGTAAACCATAGTGTCAACTGTGAGGAACAATTAAAGAACAATATAATTGGATGTGAAATTGTGGAGAGCAAATATCCAGGACAGGAGAGGTCACTAGAGGTTACAGGCATCAGTGAAGGCGTTACGGCAAACAGGGAGTTATGTCAGGGTTTTAAACAGTATGGAGCGTTCAGTGGCTAAGAGATATTAATAGTCACATTGCTCCTAAAAAGAGTAGGCAACATTTACGCATCTGATTTCTAAATAATAGCACATAATCTTAACATTTCCTGAGAGCACGCCAAGTGATGCTGTAGTTCTATGCATACACTGATGTTTTTCTAATTATTAGTCCCATTTACAAAGGAAAAAACTGAACCATAATGCTACATGAGGCCACCATGCCCCCCTCTGCAAATACGTGGCAGAAGCAAAGCCAAATTAGGAAAGACAGAACTATTCTTGGAAAGATACATGGCGCCATTTCCTGGGGCCTAATAGCTGGGTTCTTTCAGAGACTTTGGAAAGTGAAGGATTGGTCAGACCCTAGGTTATAAATCGTTCTTGATGGCTGTATCTAGATGGTTTGGCAGATTCTTCTCTAGAGTCACCAATTCCTCAGAGCCACGTGAACCACATTATTTCGAGTGTATGAACTGGGATGTCAGGCTAGTCTTTACTCAAATGTCATGAGTACTGACTGTGGCTAGCACTTAAGGACAAAGTAGTGATCAAAGACAGACCTGGCTCCCGCCCTCATGGATTTTACAGTCCAGCAGGAGAGCTAGACATTTTTAAAATACACAAATATTATGGTTATCATATTTGGTATGAGACTCTCATGGGGAACCTAACCTAGTGGAGTAATATCCCCAATGTATGCAGAGTCTTGTGTTGGTTGGGAGTCCTGATTTGTGTTTGATTCAGCTGGTGCATCAGCAGCTGGGGGTTGGCTGAGCTAGACTAGCCTTGACTCCATGTGCTGTCTCATCCTTGAACAAGCTCACTAGGCATGTTCTCATAGTGGTGTCAGGGGAGGTGTGTACAAACCCACCTCTTGAGGCCTAGGCTTAGAAGTGGCACAAGAGCACTTCATTTACTGGCCAAAGCAAGCTAAACCAAGTCTGAAGAGGGGGGAAATAGACTTGACCTCTTGCAGTTGTTGCAAAGGGTCTGGATACTGGGAGGAGTCCAGTATTGGAGCCATTTTTGCAATCGCTCTACCACACTGAGTGAAGGGGTATATTGGAGAAACTGAAAGAGGGTTCCTGTAGGAATAGGGAGTTGTGGGGGGCGGGTTCTTTGAGATGGGGTAGAAAGGAGTCTGACCATGCAGGCCTTGAAAGGCATAGTAAGCATCCAGTGTTTATATATGGTATGAAGCCTATGATTAGCATTAGACACTCATTCTCCCCTCCTTTCCTTCCTTTCCATCTTGTAGAATGCTTTGAAACCGTTGTTGAGAACATGTTTTGCTGTGTGCCTAAGGCAGAGATATCTTCTTTCAAGTGGTTAGGATGCTGATAAGCAAATATTCAACAAAAGCCTATTACTAAAAAAAAAATGTAAAAGCACCTGTAATTATTAAGTGAATGATTCGTGGAGTATTTCCTCTCATGCCTTAGGAATAAATTATCCACTTTTTAGAAGCAAATTCATTATGTAGAGAAGCACAAAAACTAAACTGATGTGCCTAGGTTGTCTTTTGCCCTGAAAGAACCAAAGACAGCATAGCTACTAAATAGAGTATTCATGTGACGCTCCCCTTACAGCTTTTCCTTAGGTTGTGTAGTGCTTGGTGGTCAAATTCAGCCAACATCTGCACCAGGGTGGGTGCACGGATGAAAGACACAATGAACCCAGGTTACTCCCATGCACAGAATAACACTAGGTAAACTGGGCATGTTAAAAAGCAGCCTTGAATCTTTCAGACTTCTTTTTTTTTTTTTTTTAAGATTTTATTTATTTATTTGACAGAGAGAGAGAGAGAGACAGTGAGAGGGAACACAAGCAGGGGGAGTGGGAGACGGAGAAGCAGGCTTCGCGCTGAGCAGGGAGCCCGATACGGGGCTCGATCCCAGGACCCTGGGATCATGACCTGAGCCGAAGGCAGACGCTTAACGACTGAGCCACCCAGGCGCCCCGAATCTTTCAGACTTCTAATACCACTTTGCTCCCTCGCCCTCTTTCTCTGTCCCTCCCCCGTCCCTGTGCAAGCTTGCTTTCTCTCTTTCTCTCAAAATAAATAAATCTTTAAAAAAATTATTGGATTATTGGAACTATTGCATATACAACATAAGGATACTTAATATTTAAATAAATGAAAGTATTACAAGCATTAGTTCAAAATCATCAGAAATGCAAAGCTATTTTTGAAAAAGAGCAAAATACAACAATGAAAGTTAAAAACACAATGAAGGGGCACGTGGGTGGCTCAGTCGGTTAAGCGCCTGCCTTTGGCTCAGGTCATGATCTCGGGGTCCTTGGATCCAGCCCCCATCGGGCTCCCTGCTCAGCGGGGAGTCTGCTTCTCCCTCTCCCTCTGCTGCTCCCCCTGCTTGTGCTTTCTCACTCTCACTCTCAAATAAAATCTTAAAAAAAAATAACCCAATGAAGACTCTACTTCTGGGTGGGACATGGTAGTAGCAAGCAGTTACTCCATTATAACATAGAAAATAAACAAGTAAATTAGTTTTTGGGTTTTTTTTGCCTTTGACTTTAGAGCTCTGTGATGCAATGTGGACTAGCTTAATGAAAATGGTAACGGAAGAACCCTTGCCAGGTAAGTTGGCCGTGTTTTTCTCTGGGGAACATTTTCTAAGGGTAACAGCTGAGGATTGGGCTTGCTAAAGGCAGTGGCTTCTCTACAAGGGGAAAGAGAATCCAACAGACCTTTTGACAGTCAGCGGGATGGCATGACAGATTGGAAGCTAGAGGAGGCGCTAAGTGCATGAGTTTGCCCCTTGAGGCATTTGCTGAGCACTACAGCAACAGAAGGGAGAGGGCTGGACTGGGAAGACAAGGTGAACCCTTTTATAGTCTTACTGTGCTTAAAAAACAAAGTTCTGAGGAAGAAGAACCCAAAAGAAACCTGACAGGTTTCATTCTGTTGACATTTGAAACTACAGGGCACTAAATCTGAAAAAGTGGCAACTTGGGGTGCCTGGGTGGCTCAGTCGGTTAAGCGTCTACCTTCAGCTCAGGTCATGATCCCGGATCCTGGCATGGAGCCCCACATCGGTGTTCCCTGCTCCGTGGGGAGCCTGCTTCTCCCTCTGCCTGCTGCTCCCCCTGCTCGTGCTCTCTCGCTCTCTCTCAAATAAATAAAATCTTAAAAAAAAAAAAGTGGCAACCCAGCCCTAGCTCAGCTCAATACCTGTTTGGATTAGAGTGATCAGGCCTTACTCTATCTAACAGGGAAGAGGTGAGCCCTCTCCGGAGAATAAGAACATTGACTTCAGTCTTTATGGTTCTTTTATATAGAACTTCTGGCATACAATAAAAGGAAAATTATGGGACATGCAAGGGGTCAGAAAAATGTAACTGATCATCAAGAGAAAAAGTAGATCTACGGATGATCCAAATGTAGGAGTAAGCAGACAAGAACTTTAAAACAACTCTTACGAATATTTATAAAAACAGAGGAAAAGAAGAAAACATGTGAAAAAGGTAGATTTCCAATAGACAACTGGAATTTACATGAAAGAATCACAAACACACAGAAAGATAGTAAAACAATTGAAAAACAAAGCAGAGATAGCTACCTTGGTATCGCAGAAAACAGATTTTAAGGCAAAAAGCATTAGCAATAAGGCTGTCACTACATGACCAAAAAAGAGTTCAACTCACCAGGAAGGCATAATTCTAAGCTTTACTCACCTAACAAGATAGCCTCAAAATGTATAAAGCAAAAACTGATAAAACAGGGGAATTTGAAAATCCATCATCACAGTGAGAGATTTCAAAATACTTCTCTCAATTATTGACAGGTCAGGCAAACAAACGTTAGTAATGACATGGGAGATTTGAACAATTAATAAGGTTAAAGTACATATTTAGAAAATAACAATTGGAAAATAAACATTCTTCTTAAGCACATATGGTACATTTTAAAAAACAGAGAGGGAGGCAAATCATAAGACTCTTAATCATAGGTAACAAACAGCGTTGTTGGAGGGGAGGTGGGTGGGGGTTGGGATAACTGGATGATGGGCATTAAGGAGGGCACGGGATGTAATGAGCACTGGGAATTGTATGCAACTGATGAATCACTAAATTCTACCTCTGAAACTAATAATACAGTATAGGTTAATTAAATTGAATTTAAGTAAAAAAAAAATTTTTTTTTTAAATTGGCCATACCTAGACATAAAGGACATCTCAAAAACTTTCTAAGAATCAGTAAAAATAAAAGGTTTACATTTGTATTAGTTTCCTGTGGTTGCTGTAACAAGATTACTCTCACAGTTCTAAAGGAGAAAAGTCCAAAATCAGTTTGTAGGCCAAAATCAAGGTGTTGGCTGAGTCCTCAATCCTCCAGAACCTCTGGGGAATAATCCAATGCCGATGGCATTCCTTGACTTGTGGCTGCATCACTCCAATCTCTGCCTCCGAGGTCATGCTGCTTTCTCCTTTTCTGTGTGTAATCTTCCTCTTATTAAGGATATTTGTGATTTCATTTAGGGCCCATCTGGATAATCTCATCTCAAGACCCTCTAACTTAATCACATCTGCAAAGACCTTTTTCCACATAAGATAGCGTTTACAGGGTCCAGGGATTTGGATCTGGTATCTTTGGGGGCCATTATTCAGCCTACTACAACATTTATATATATATATTTACTTTATGCCAGGCTAGATCCTGAGTACTTTAAAAATACAAATTTTTGCTCACCAACAATCTACAAGCCAGGTGCTGTTATTATTCTCATCTTTCAGAAGGCAAAACTGAGGTAGAGAAAGGTTATAATTTGCCCAAGCTGTGCCATACCTACATGTTCTCTGACCACAATGCAATTATTTAGAAATCAATAACAAAAGATTTCACTTTTTATTCTAAAAAAATTTCAGATTTATAGGAATTTTACAAGCACACAGAATTCCCATATACCACCTTTCACCTATATTCTTTCAATGTTAACATTTTAACACATTTGCTTTATCTTTTTCTGTATACATAATTTTTTTCTGAACCTTCTGAGATTAAGTTGCATAGATAATGTCCCATTATCCCTAAATACTCTAGTGTGTACTTCCTAAAACTCAAGAGCTTTTTCTTGAATAACCACAGTACAATGCTCAAACTCAGGAAATTAACATTGATAGAATGCTTTTATCTAACCTATAGACCTTACTCAAATCTTAACCATTGTCTCAAAAATGTCATTCTTAATCAAGATTCGATCCGAGATCATGTAACATTTACTTGTCACATTTCTTTAGTTTTCTTTAATCTGAAACTTTTGACAAATTTAAGTAGGTTATTTTGTAGGATATCCTTCAATTTGGATTTTTCTGATATTTCTTTTTGATTCTCGGCCTTTTGACTAAGATCAGGTGTGATCAGGTTCAGGTTATACATTTTTGGCAGGAATACAATATAAGTGATGTTGTATCTTCAGTCCATGATAACACAATGCACAAAATATAAAATTGTCTTATTAATGGTGATACCAACACAAGCTTTTTAAAAAGGAAATAGCATTTATAAACATTTGAATTTGTGCTTTTAAAAACATTTCTCAACAGGTCATAGGTCAAAGTCATAAATTTTTAAATATTAGCACTGAAAAAGAATGTGTGTACATATACATGTTTATGTACTCACACACACACACCTGAATTGTGGGATGTAGCAAAAAATAATTAAACGTAGAGCAATAGATGTTTATGTCAGAATAGAAAAAATGTTAAACATGAATGAAATGTTCAATTTGTGAAATAAGAAAAATAACAGAATAAACTGCCAGAAATCAGGAGAACATAAAGTGAAAAGGGCAGAGAGGATCGACAAAACCAAATTGCTTCTTTAAAAACTAATAAAGTAGACAAATTCCTAGCAAAATGGTCAAGGAAAAGAATGTGAGAAAACACAAAGAATATTGGGAAAGGAAAGAGAAGGCTTACAAAAATCAAAGATTCCTCAAGTCACATTATGCTAATACATTTGGGGAAAAAAAATGAGGCAGTGCTTAGAAATTTTTTTTTCAAAATTGACTCAAGAAAAAATAGAAACCTTGAGTAGTCTTATTCCCATTAAAGCAACATCATCAGTAGCTAAAAATCTTCCCACAAATACATACTAGGGCCAGATGGTTTTATAAACTTTCAAGGAAAAAGATTGCTCCAATCTTTTAGTCTTCCAGAGCACAGTAAAATAAGCAACACTTCCCAGCTCATTTAATGAAGTTATAATATTGATATGAAAGCCAGACAAATATGAAGATTGCAAACCAATTTCCTAAACAAAGATGCAAAATTCCAAATAAAATACCAGCAAATTGTATTTAGCAGTACAAAGATAGTGAATTATGACCAAGAATGTAAAGGTGATTTCATATTAGAAAGTCCTAACTAAACTAACAAGATCTCTGAAATCTTCAGGAAAGACTTCATGCAGTATAAAGTTCAATATGTATGTACTCCTAGCCATTCTTGGAACATACCAGGCACGCACTCTCCTTGGGTTCTTTGCTCAGGCTGGTCTGCTTGATCTGCCCTTCTCCCACATAGCTGAAAGGCCTCCCCAGGACCGTTCAAAACCTCTCTCCACAGCCACCATGAGTATACAAGCCTCCCACTCTTACCCTACACACACAGATTCCCCATCCTCCTTACCTTGCTTCATCCCCCTTCCCCCCCATAGCATAAAGCACTTACACTATGTTACTCTTTCTTTCTTCTTTTTTAACCTGTCTCCCTCCTTGGCTTGCCTCCCCTTCCCCAGCTCAAATGTAAGCTCTACAGGGGCAAAAATTTTTGTCCCTTTGTTCACTGTAGTTTCTCCAGCACCCAGAAGAGTAAATAGCACATGGTTAGCACTCAATAAATGCACCCAATGCTATGTCTAGAAACTTTTGTAGTAAGGAAGACAAGCTTGCCTTATATCCTTTTAGGATTATCATTTATAGTACCCATGTTGCTTGCTTTTCAGTGACACAGGTAAAAGGAGAGTGCAAAGTTGTAATATGCCATCATCACGTTAACATGGATTCATTTAATATGTTTGTGTTCATGCTGGACACCATGTTCCATTTCTAGATGTCTCTACATAAACCTCGACAGAAAGAATTACATTCCAAGAGGGAATTTAAATTCTGTCCACATGTATATGTTTTCATCATGAGATGAGTATCAAAGTACAAAGTAGTGAGTCCTTAAACATTTTTTAATTGAATTAGTTTCCAACATATTCAATAAAGAGCTTTGGTAATTTCCTTTGACCCTGTAACTACCGAGCAAAGTAGCAGAATCCAAGACCACCTAAATCTCAGGTAATTTTTGGTGTCAATAGATTTTAAAAAATTAGAGTACAACTTAAGTTCATTTCATTCTCGAAAGGTATCACAATAAATCTCCTCTTCCACACTGCATCCGCACCATTTGTTTGGTGTCAGCACTGATGCTCACTCCATATAAAGTTCAGGTCTGTCGTATTTCAATGCAATAAATGCTCCAGTGAGAGGAATTCATCTATTTAGGGCAGGGCCACATTTGAGGACATTGAGAACAATAGTAACATCTGTATTTATTCCCAGTGTATGGGGGACTGGCACAAAGAAA